ACCCTGGCGGGTCGTGTTTCCAAGGTAGGGCCGAATAAAAGAAACCCTAATAATTCCCTACCCATTGGATTTAGGGAATTCCCTATTTCCTTAAAGTCCCTACATTCCCTATAATTCCCTGCCCCATGCGTTGGATTTAAGGAATTCCCTATTTCCCAGAATTCCCTAAATTCCTTAATTCCCTACCCCATATTATTATATATTCACTCATTCAACGTACGAGAGAGACCCTAATCCCAAACCCAAAACGCACTCAAGGAGACTTCATCCAAATATATATAATAGCCCAAACCCTGATCCTACGTACGTAGGTCCTGGAGAGCTCGGCGGCGACAACCCCGTCGCCAGCAGTGGCCGTGGCACCGGTTGCTCCACGCCCCAGAACGGCGCCTCGTGCTGCTAGAAAGGACTCTAAGGACTTCGTGACCAGAAAAACCCTACGAACCGTAATACCCTGACTTAAATTTTAGCCCTATAATGAATAAGACCCTATATATATACACATTATAAACCCTTTTTCTTTCGTGGTCGTACTTTCATGGTGAGACATGCAGGAAGATGACTACGCCTTGCCGGTCTTGAGTGAAGCAGAGAAAGCCAGGTACGGCAACTTCTGGCAGCGCTACCGGTCCACGAGCTCTGTTAGCCTTGCTGAGAGTGACGGAGGAACAGACCGTGCGAGCCCGGGGACACCAAGCCCGGCGACACCGACCCCGAGTCCGGCCACACTGCTGACGGCTCTGACGGCGACTCAGCTAGCGACAGGCGGACCGACTGCCACGACAGCGGAGACGCTTCCGGCGACTGCAGAAGAGCTCGCGAACGCAGGACGACCGACAGTTCCGACTCCAACGACGTTGCCTGCAACAGCAGCCCCAGCGACAGCTGTGCCAGTGCCCCTGGAGGCCCGCCTGACAGTTCCGACTCCTACGTTGCTTGCAGCAGCCCTACCTGTGCCAACAGCAGCACTGCCGGTGAGCCCAGCAGCAGCAGTTCCGACTCCGACTGCACCGCCAACAGCAGCACCCGCCGTGCCGGCAACAGTGCCTGCACCGACAACAGTTCCGACTCCGACGTTGCCTGCAGCAACAACAGCAGCAGCCCCAACAGTGACAGCTGTGCCGGGACCAGTGGCAGCGAGCCCGACAGTTCCGAGAGCAGCCCCAGCGGCAGCTGTGCCAACACCAGTGCCGGTGAGCCCAGCAGCAGTTCCGACTCCAGCCTTGTGTGCACCAGCAGCACCTGTGCCAGCAGCAGTGCCGCTGAGCCCGACAGTTCCGACTTCTACGTTGCCTGCAGCAGCAACAGCACCCGTGCCAGCAGCAGTGGTGGTGAGCCCAACAGCAGTTCCGACTCCGCCTGCGCCAGCAGCACCTGTGCCAACACCAGTGCCGGTGAGCCCGACAGTTCCGACTACTTCTACGTTGCCTGCACCAGCAGCACCCGTGCCAACAGCAGTGGTGGTGAGCCCGACAGTTCCGACTTCTACGTTGCCTGCACCAGCAAGACCTTCTACGTTGCCTGCACCAGCAGCACCCGTGCCAGCAGCGGTGGTGACGAGCCCGACAGTTCCGACTTCTACGTTGCCTGCACCAGCAACACCTTCTACGTTGCCTGCGCCAGCAGCACCTGTGCCAGCAGCAGTGGTGGTGAGCCCGACAGTTCCGACTTCTACGTTGCCTGTGCCAACAAGACCTTCTACGTTGCCTGCACCAGCAGCACCGGTGCCAGCAGCAGTGGTGGTGAGCCCGGCAGTTCCGACTTCTACGTTGCCTGCACCAGCAACACCTTCTACCTTGCCTGCACCAGCAGCACCCGTGCCAGCAGCGGTGGTGACGAGCCCAACAGTTCCGACTTCTACGTTGCCTGCGCCAGCAACACCTTCTACCTTGCCTGCGCCAGCAGCACCTGTGCCAGCAGCAGTGGTGGTGAGCCCAACAGTTCCGACTTCTACGTTGCCTGCGCCAACAACACCTTCTACGTTGCCTGCACCAGCAGCACCCGTGCCAGCAGCAGTGGTGGTGAGCCCGACAGTTCCGACTTCTACGTTGCCTGCGCCAGCAACACCCTTGCCAGCAGCAGTGGTGGTGAGCCCGACAGTTCCGACTTCTACGTTGCCTGCGCCAGCAACACCCTTGCCAGCAGCAGTGGTGGTGAGCCCAACAGCGGTTCCGACTCCGCCTGCAGCAGCAGCACCCGTGCCAGCAGCAGTGCCGGTGAGCTCGACAGTTCCGACTTCTACGTTGCCTGCACCAGCAGCACCCGTGCCAACAGCAGTGGTGGTGAGCCCGACAGTTCCGACTTCTACGTTGCCTGCAGCAGCAGCACCCGTGCCGGCAGCAGTGCCAGTGCCGGCAGCAGTGCCAGTGAGCCCAACAGGTCCGACTCCGACGTTGCCTGCAGCAACAGAAGCAGCCGTGCCAACTTTGACCTCGACTGCACCCACAGCCCCAGCAGCGGCTGTGCCAGCACCAATGGCAGCGAGCCCAGCAGCCCCTGACCAGAAAGAGATCCAGATGCCAGCCCCGACTCCGTCGACTTTCTTCTTTCCCAGGTCACCGCCTGCACCTCCCTCTGCTGCAACAGCGACAGTTCCCAGCACTCCGCCTGCAGATGATGCAATGACAAGCCTGCTAGCGACGGTGCTGGCTCAGACTCTGCAGAATGGATCTTCGTTGTCTGCGGAGCAGATCCAGATGCTCCAGGGCACCATGAGTCAGCTGCTGAACGCGAGTGCTGCTGAGAAGGCAGCAGCGCCAACAGCAGAGCAACAGCAGCAGCAGCAGGTTGCGGGCGAGGCCCCCGGCCAAACAGTGAGCGCAAATCCGCTTCCAGCAGCTGCCCAGGTTGCGAGCGAGGCCCCTGGCCAAGCAGTGAGCGCAAATCCGCCTCCAGCACCTGCCGGCGAGGCCCCTGGCCCAGCAGTGAGCGCAAATCCACCTCTAGCACTTGTCCAGGCTCAGCCATTGCCAAAGGGAGCATCGGCGGTGGCAGCAGCAGGGGATGTGGCACCGCCATCCTCATTGCCGCCACCAGCACCAGGTGCCCCGCCTCCACCTGCTGCACCGATCAAGCTGGAGGTGAACAGTTCCACCCATCCGAAGGAATACCGGGCCTTTGGACGCTTCTGTGAGACATCAAAGGGTGCAGATGAAATGAAGAAGGTTTGGGTGCAGGGCGGACCCCGTCGGATGGCTGTGTTCGCACAGTTCGTGGCCAGTGGCTGTCACTGGGATGGCACCTATACAATTTTACGCTGCCCTAAACCCCAAACACCCGACTACATCGTTCCCTAAACCTTATAGAACCCAAACTTGTAGTGTTGAACCTTTGTGCACTAAATTTCACTAAATCCTAAACCCCAAACCTTATCATGCAAACCCATAGCTTATGTTATAAGGTATGTGTGTGTATATATATAGAGTAAACATAACAGAAGACAGATTTGGAGATAGACAATATATATATATATATATATATATGGGAGCCCCTAAGCCCTGATGACGCGCCCCAACTCTCATGCACCGCTTCTTGCTGATTATTTGGGCCCATATATAGGCACGGATTAGGGTTTAGGGATGTAGTATAGACCTATACTATTATCATATATTGCGAGGCTTTCGTGCCCAAAGTCTTTTGTTTGTAGCAGAGTCTCGGACTAGACTGTTCGCTCCCAGCTGCACCTACTATGCTGAGGTATTGATTGAAGCCTTCTGGAGCAAAACGTCTTATAGGGAACTATGTATTAAGGGCTTAATTTGTATGGCAACACACCTACCAAACACCAATATGATTAAGCTCCCCGTCCCCCCAGTGTCCAATCAGGTGATCCTCTTGCTATGGAGGCGGCTCTCCGCTTCAAGCGGCAACGCGAAGAGGAAGACCGTGACGAGGGTACCCTGCCAGAATCTGTGGGGTTTGGAGTTTCTTGAGAATTGGCATCGGGGTTTATATGTCAATGACGTTCAATGGCCATAGTGTTGTCCTTAATTGACAGGACGAAAACAGCAAGGGATATGCACCATGAAAAATAGGATGTGAAATTGAACAGAACTTTAGGTTTGAGCAGATATCCTGAAGCCCACATAGACGTACAAACATTCAGCCAAAGGCACTGTACCGGCCAAGGCTTCATTAAGGGAATATGCTGTGTGCGTGCTCCGCCATACAGCTATATGCAACGATCCTATGCTGTCCAGGTGAATATTATCGCTGGAGCGATATCCTGGCCTTTCACTCGAACGACGCCGACAAAGCGTTAGCCTTTATCACTCGTCGCCGAGCTGAGCCACGTGGGACTTGAGTTGCATGCAACTGTACGTACGTAGACGTGTCTATAGTACATGCGAATTAAGACCTACGTACTACTACGACGACTATACTATATGCAACTGCGACACACACTATCGGGCAGGACAAGCACCGACCGCAACGATTCGACAGTTGAGACCTTCCTCTACTACAATCGGCAGAAGCGGTCGGTGGTCAACAGGACGCTTGATGAGATTGCGGTTGAGCTGGGTGTGTCCCCTTCGTACGCGGCGAGCGTTGCGGCGATGCTGGATGGCCAGAATGGGCCGGCGGCTTTGACAGCACCGACAACGGCACTCCCGGCACCTGCGTCGACCAGTGGCAGCCCTTCTGTGCCAGACTCCCCGCTGGAAAGTGCTGCTGCGGCAAAGGCTAGCGCAAAAGCAGGAGCAAAAAACAAGGCCAACGACGGCTCGCAGCAGTCCAACCCGAAGAAGCAGCGACTGCCGAAGCCGGAGGTGCATTATTAAACGAGCGATACATCCTAACCGCAAGCATGAACGCATGAATGGCTTAACCTAAGCTAGCTTATTACATAAGGCTATTACATAAGGCTTTCGGGCTTGTTCTTCTAGAAAACGACTTATTTAGGTGATGCTTCTTTTTGTTAGGGCATATTCGCTTTTGATTAAACCATATATATATATATATATATTGTGCATGATGAATCACATTCAGGGATTAGGTCGTGCATTATTGTTTTTTCAGTGCACGTGTTTCGTACAGTCTGATGGTATGATGGTGTTTGCGAGGGATCGGAGCTGGAAGTCCACGTGTGCACGGAAGACGTGGGCGCCTTCGTTGCCAACTGGTGCACAGCTGCCAACTCGGCCCAGGGTCAAGCCGTGAAGTTGTGCGGGGAGTTCCTTGGTGTATTTTGTTTCGATCCTGCTTACTGTTCTCGAGAGAGAAATCAAAACCCTGTTAGATGAAACCGGGCGGCATGTTATTGTGCTGTGATCGAGGTTGGAATCTCTGGACTTCCAGGACTCCCTGATCGCCAAGCTGAAGGATGCATCCGAAGGCCTCAATCAGTGCCGGAAGCAGCTCCAAGCGCTCGGCACAGCTCCGGTTGCAGCTGATGTCCAGACTGTGTTGCTGACTGTTCCTTGTCGGTAGCACTTGATTGCATGATTGTGGCCGTGCTGTGCAGATATACAGTGAGTTTGCTGCTTTCCATGCGTATTCATCGTGTGGCTTACCAACATATCTCAGGCTGCGATGTACGTGGAAGCGTTCAAGAAGCACACGAGGGTGGCAAATGGACTGTGCTTTGGATTCAACAATATAGCGAGACAGAACATTTGATAATTTGCCCAAATAAACCCTTATACCTTATTATAACCCTCTATAAGGCCTTAAACCCCTAAAGCCCTCAACCCTATAAAGCCATAAACCCCTATACAAAGCCTTAATCCCCTAACACCTTAAACCGCTCCTGCCAGGCTTAGTCCGAGAGTGAGGGTAAAGGAGCCGAAAGCCCTATGTTGTATGCTGCTTGTTCCGTACAGGTTCTTGTTGCTGCGTAAATGTATGGAAGCTTCCGCCCTACAATTCCATTCGGGATCGCACGGCCCCAAACCCCTACCTGAAGCCCTCAACCCTAATATCCCGCCCTAAATTAACCCCGAACGCCCTAATATATCGCTCCACTCAGGATCGCACAGGAGAAACGCCCGGCTAAGGCGGCGAAGAAGGCCAAGGCATCCCCGACGAAGCCGCTTGAGGGTTCGCAGTGAGTGCAGCGGCTTCATGAGTTTTGATTAGATGGCAGGTCGTTGTTTTGTTTGATGAGTCAACATGCAGCCAGCTACTGTAGCATTGTATGTAAAGTCTGTGATACCTTAGCTGTGGCCACTGCACATCACATGATCACGTGAGCGAGTCTTGACTTTTGATTGGAGCCGGCTAGCGGGAAGCGTGCTCAGCACTCGCTTAGTCCTGCACACCAAGCAGTCGTGAGTGCGAGCCGGGGAACGGCCGGTAACATGTGCCGAACACATGTTTCTCTCCAGAGTTCTTCGTCCGCTGTGGGACCCATCTAGTGTGCTAATGGTGTCGTTGATGCAGCATCTATGGACTGTTATTGTAACCGTGTAAGTTGTACCGGCTTGGTGTATTTCTGCTTAAAGTAGATTCGTGCAGCTGGGCAATCGTTGCTTGTGCACCATGGCATATGTGGGGCCCGCATTTATCCAATTTGATCTTCAGTCTGCTGTGCTCTCAAGAAGCGCGGGCACTAGGGGGCTTCGCTGGATCTGCAGCGCCGAAAGTCGTCGCCACAAACGGCAATGATATGTCATTAGTGCTGGTGTGCTGTTTCGACTGCTCGGGGACATACTGCTCGTGATTGCGGTTCTCGTGCACGAAGCTGGTGAATCGATATTGCAGGTTCGAGGCCCTCGCGGGCTTATTTAGATCAGTAATAATGGACATAAACTGCATCTGTATACACAAGCATCCCAGTTATGTTTGTGTAGATGATCGCATGGACACCCTTAGCCAACCTTGTTATGCCTGCAACCGTAAAACCACGAGTGCTGCAAAACCCCATTTTGGCCCTTATCTATCTATCACATATAAGCCTCATATACATGTATAGTTATGTGTATATATATATATATATACACATACAAGCCCCAAACCCCCCAAAATCCTAATGCTAAACTCTTAATAAGCCGCTGGGTCCAAAGGCCGAACCTGCAGGCTGGAGGTGAGGATTACCCATGTAGAATGTAAATATTATGTTGCTGGTAACATGGCTGTGTTTTTGCATGCCGTCGGATGTTGGGAAAGCGAACTCAGAGCCTGGCGAAAAGCCTTGCGAAAGCGGCTGGGAAGGATTCAAGACAAACGCCTGACCCGAGACCGTCTCCCCGTGATTTATCTTTGACTGACAGTGCTGTGACACGAGCGGCTTCGCGGCACATTGGGCGTGGGGCTAGCACTGCCTTGTTGCAAGAGTTTGCATCTGCCGCGATCCAAGAGTCCGGTGCTGACAATGTGTCCAAAAGCACCTGGGCCCTACACATCCCAAACCAAAAGCTTGTAATGTATTCATCAGCATATAAGACCCAAAAAAACACCTTATCTTTTCTTACTCATGCAACGTACAGTAAGGTACTCGGTGGGCTGCCACTCTGGGGGCTTCTGGCCGTCGGAAAAATATCATCGAACGGGGGCTTTCGAAAGCCCTGGCTTCCGACTCGAGTGATGTTTCCTGGTTGCAGAATACGTGTATGTTCATATGTAGGGTGCTCCCCGCTTGTTCATGGGTCTTCGGGATGGTGTTGCTAGGTATTCTGGTGATGTGTTATTTCTCCGCTACTGGATTGGTGATCTGAGGCTCCGATTGTGTGTCCCCTCAGTGCAGCTTCAGTTTTGCTGAAAGACACACGACCAGAAGTTCGTCGAGAGCTAGGGCAACGCAGACAAGTTCGTTTTCGACGTAGAGCTGCTGGACGGGTTGTACAGGTAAAGAAAAAGAGCAAAAACGCTCAACCGGCCCTCAACTCGTGGACATCGCTGCCCTATCTGTCGCCCTACTTGCTGTTCAAGGCCATGGTGCAAGGCGGACTTGTGAACCATTGGATGCTCATATCATGTACATATTATGTTCGTGTGATACATTTCGTCGGTTTGGTGCTTTTTAATTTGTGCTACGTAATCATTGTGGCAATCTTGCCGCGATCAGAGCAGTGAGGACGGGCCCGGTTGATTGGTTGGAGTTCTGGGAGAAAGCGAAGTCGGAACCATGGGGGAAGTGTCTCGATTGCATGCATGCTCCCTTGATTTCGTTTTGATTACCGCGATCGATGCAGCACAATTTAAATGACAACATGTGTACCAGGTCCCATCCCGTACAGGGGTGGCCTGAATCCGCCCGGAGGAAGGCCATCGCTGTGTCGTTGCACGGCGACGAGGGCACTTCGAAACGCTCCAAGAACGTTCTCGTCATGTCAATAAGCCCGCTGGGGTGTCATCGCGAAGCCCAATACCAGAAATACCCCTTCGTGGTGCTTTGGCTGCTTCTCAATCTTGTGCTGTAGCTAAAGGGAACTCGGACTTCGATCGAGCCGAGGTTCTGAAATCAGACCGGTTCGCGATCGACCACAACAGCAAGAAGAACCTGACGTTGGCTTGCCTGCAGAAGCTTTTCGTGGACTCCATGATTCCTTTGGCTTCATGTGACGATGCTGAGTTACATGGATGGTCTGTGCACCTCTGCGTGTCCAAGGGCGATTGGAAACACAAACGAGAATGGCTGGCACAATCAAGACATTACGGCAACGTGGCCGGACCGAACGGCCAACCAGGTCAGATTTGCCCCAGATGCCTGGCCGACAGCAGCAGAGAGCGCCCTTGGGCTGATATGGCTGAACGCTTCAACAATCAGGCGGACCTTGACGAGGCTGCAAGAACTAGCTCTTGGGTGGCACCAGCCGTCTTGAACGACGGGCAGGTTATCTTTTATTTTATTGTGAAACCCATCAAATAGATCTCGGCCGTGTTGCTAACATCTCAAATTCAGCAGTGCCTAGGTGTTGGTCGCGACATAGAGCTTTTCCGACTGCCCGGATACGATGCATCCTGCGAATACCCTGACCTGCTTCACTGCTTGTGGTTGGGAACGGGGCGCGACGCAGTGGGTTCGCTTACGATGCTTCTAGCGCGCTTTTGGCCGCCCGTGCAGCATTACGACACCTTTGATGAGAGACTCCGGCACATCCATTTCGATCTTCGTGAGTGGTGCCGCCAGCATGGACTGCGACCCAGCACGATCGACGAGCTGAGTCTCTATGATACACATAATTTTTTGTTTTGTCTGAAAACAATAAGAAGCCGAATATATAATAACAACCCTAAACCATGTACCCCTGCTAAACCCAGCTTTAGCCAGACTCTGCACCCAGGTTTGACAAAACTCTCCGTTGATGCGGTAAGCTTTGACTATCCTCTGGGTTTTTCCAAAGGATGGGCGAACCGTCTCATGCAGCTTGGATGAAACCCTGCTCCTCCGAAGCACACAACCAGCCGATTATATATAGTCATACGAATAATGGCCCAGGCTGGCTTACCTTGCCGAGCGCTTCTGTGCAACTCGACCATGCGGGTTATTTTTTTGGTGTTGGATCGTTGGAACTTTTTTGAGGTTCACCCGATGTCGTTTCGAATATTTCAGCTTTGAAGCTTTTGATTGAAGTGTTGGGCAGCAGTTCTTCTCCCTAGGAGTTGTCGACTTCGATGCCCGAAGCCCGAAAACCGGCTGTGAACGCATGGGCAATCACGACTTTCGCCAATCAGCTGGATAAGTATGGCATGTGGCTTTCAGACGAGCAAGCACGAGAAGTCGCCCAGAACCTCAACTGAATGTTGTTGCACACATTTTCTCAGCGACCGCAATTAAAGAAGAATGTTGCGATGTTTATATGCAAGAACTCCATATCCGAGGCTCGGCAGATTGTACTGCCACTCCTATCTTTCCCTGGCAGCTCAGTTTCTGCAGTCTGCACAGCCCCTGCTCCCTGTTTGAACTTATGAGCAGGAGTTCTGCTGGGGGTTGGAGAAGAGAGCCACATCGATAGAATTTCCATCAGACGATCAGCCGAGGTTTAAGTTGCGCCCAAAGTTTCACGTCTATCACTGCGAGATCATATGCAGGTTAGATACCAGCAGGCTCAATCCCCGCTACGCGGGGTGCATGATGGAGGAGGATCCGAAACCCTTAATTACAAACCCTAATCCCTAAACCCGAATAATTCTCTAGGGACCCCATGGGATATCCCTATCGAACCTTCTTTTGCCTTATGTGCTGTTTGGGGCGCTTCAGGACTTTGTGGGCTTCGTCATGGCTACCACAAAGGGTGCGCTGCATGCAAGCACGCTTTCTGCACGAACATTGCAGAGGTGGCTATTGCAGTACAACTGTTGGGTGTGCTCGACGGGCCAGTGAAAAATCCGAGCGAGAGAGCCTCTTCGGGCACGCCTATATCATTGCACCATCAATGAGATAAGAATAGGAGAGATTTTTTTATGAGGCACTTTCGTATGCTCCCTAGAAGGACCCCATTTCCTAGAAGAAATATGTTTGATTGCAGTTCTCATGAACACACATTCATCCGTATATTGATTTTTCTGCATCGCGAAAGCTCACATAAGTGCTTATATTGTGCTGTGCCATAGATTGCCGTCAAATACGCGAAAATTTTTAATGAGGCACTTTTGTATGCTCCCTAGAAGGACCCCATTTCATAGAAGAAATAGATTTGATTGGACTGTTTCGTCTATGCGCCCTATATAAACCCCATACCCGGAACCGTGAACTCCCAATCCCAGACACCAGCCTGAACCCCACCCCTGTAAAACCCTAGAAGCCTTACATGCCCAGCCCCAAAGCCCCAAATTCGGATTCTGAAACCACCCATGAGGAGTCTGGGGTCGGGTGTAGGGTTTAAGGGTTCAAAAGTTTAGGGTGTAGGGCTTACGGTTTAGGGTTTAGAGCGTCAGCTCGACTCTTCTCCTTGCTTTGAAGAAGCGGGGGACAGAGGGGCTCTTTGCCGTACCCGGGCTGCTGGACAACGAGGCCTGCTGCAAAAAGGGTTTAGAGCGTCTCGCGGCGCAGCGGCAATATTTTCTATGGCGTGCTTTAGGGCTTGGTGTTCTAGTGACGTTTTAGTGTCAAGCTTTCTTGCCATCGGGATGTAGTGTCAGAAATGCCTTGCAATCTGCTTGCGGGGTATAAGGATGCTGCTAAAATGGCCCATCTCGTCACAAGCATGCCTCCGTGCGTGCAGAGGCTGCTGGCGCCCAAAGCCCTAAGCTCTAAACCCTTAACTTGCGGGTGGGACAAAAACACTTAAAACCCCAACCCTAAATCCCTAAACCCTAACCCTCCGCTGCCCAGGTCTACGACGTCGACGAGGAGGAGGAGTTCTTCACTTTTTTTTCCCTCCCGCGAGGACCCACGTTGACGTCGTGGGAGGGCTCTAGTACCCCCTCCGCTAAGCGTGGAGGGGGGAAGCCAAGAGGTCCTCAACGACGACGACGACCGTCGACCACGACGATTATGACGACTACGACGATCGAGTTTGGTACACTTTCGTGTGGTGGAGATGCTCAGCGCCTGCGCCTTCCACTACTATTTTGGCTCAAACCGAATAGGTTCTCGTTTTTGCACATGAGTTTTCTACTGTTTTGGCACAAAATCCGCCCGATGATGTTCGTTTGCCACCCATCACCCCAACCATCCCTCCCGGGTCCTGCTCCCCAACATACCACCATCTTGAAAGGACGAAAAACTGCGTTACGCTTGCCTGTCCTAACAGGGACCAGGATCCTAAGTACACATTTCCGAAAGGACGTGCCTGCAGGTAGGAAGTCAGGAGGCAAAGATTCAGGCAGTCCTGCTACCCCCGCACAGGAATCCGAACCTCGAACAGGGGGGAGCTTGGACACCGAACAGGGGTGTCGGGAACTCAGCCTGCTGTAGTTAGGCAGGTGGGCAAACGTGTCAAGCATGTCTGGCAGGACATTTAGTCGAAGATGATCCTCAAAGCGGAAGGTCATGGCCTCGGAGCATAATCAGAGATTGTGGTGGTCTGCGTGATCAGAATCTGAACCTGTGTCTGTGTGACGCAAGATTGTGACAAGTCAAGCAAGTGTAGCAGCTTTGACCACGCAGCTCCCGCCCCTAGTGATGGTGACCTTCGTGGAATTCCTAATTTTGGTGGTTCTGATGTTCGTGGGCATGTTCATGTACAGGAAGCACCAGGACGACCTCGACGAGATCGCCGCCAAAAAGCAAAGAAAGAGAAAGGCCAAGGCCGAGGCGGAGGCAAGGGAGGAGGAGGAGGAATTGTTTCAACAGCGAATTGAAGCAGCAGCTCTGAGAGAACGACTGCAGGGCATGGAGAAGTGGATGCAGCAGACAAATGAGCGCTTAAAGGAGATCACGGACGTCCTTGGAAAGCTGCAGCTGGATACAGAGAACACGAAGAAGAGCCATGAAATCGCTTTCAAGGAGCTCCATTACGACAAACTCATTATTTGGGAGGACATTCACTGTCTTGGGCAAACCCAGGTGGAGCTGGCGAAGCGCTTTTCGGTGCACGAGCAGAACGACCACGACGACCGGCCGGAGGACACCACCCACACAAGAAACGGACCAGGAAGTCATGGACATGGCCCATCACTGCTACCACTGCAGCGTCCGATCACTGTAGACAACGAGAGAAGGACCCAGCTGGAGGCCGCCGAATGGTGGGCACGTAATGTCGGTGTGGCAGGGGACGCAAGCTTTCTAGATGTGTGGTTGGACAAGTATGGCAAGAAGGAAAGGAAGTCCCTGGCAAGCATGGGAGCAGTCCGAAAGAACTTCTGCAACATACACCACGGATCAGACGCATTCATCGGTGCGGATGGAACTCGCTATGCGGACGTGGGCAACTACTGGTATGCCAGGGTACTTGACAGAATGTACGGCAACCTCTCCGAGCACGTAAGAAAACTCAATGAACAAAGCAAAGGGGACCTCGTGGAGGCAGGCTTGGGTGCAGCGTACTTGGTTTTGGACGAGTATCAGCAAGACAACGACATCAATCAACGTGTTTCTCAGGCACAGTTAGACAGACTAAGCCAGTTTCGAACGGAAGTCGAGGGCTGGGCCCTCAGGTTGGCTGGTGCACGTTGATTTCATTTATCAAGAACGAAAGTGATCAGCTTGCCGCCACCACAAGAATGGACCACGGATATAATATATGTACAGCGAACAATCCGCGGTCGAAGGAATGTCAGGTCAATGTACAGATCTGAGAAAGATTATAATAGCCGGACACGGTCACGGATGTGTCCGATGAATTCAGGGACATTGTTTTTGACATTTCATTCACGCATGTGTCCCTGGACAGAGGTTTCACATCTGACTTTCCGTAATGACGTGCAAAATGTCGCCCGCTTTCGGAGTGTGCTCCTACTCTCAAGACACATTTCCCTCCACCGCCCCACTATACACCTCAGTAAACCTCCACCCGGACCCAGGTCATGCGAGTTCTTTCTACTGCAGCGGATGCCTTGGAGAGTGGCGCAGCTTGGATTATTAAGCGGCACGTCTTAAACTAAACTCGCTGGTCCTGTCTGTGACACGAAAGGCCTACGTATCCAACACTACCGACAAGCACGACGACATGCTGATTGGAGGCAGGGCAGTGGAACGTCTTAGACTCGCTGGTGATGTCTTTTACACGAAAGGCTGACATATCAAACACTACTGACAAGCACGACAACGTGCTGACTGGAGGCAGGGAAGTGGCACGTCTTAACCTCAGTGGGTACGACGACAGGGAGGCGGGGATTTAAGAAATGCTGGGTGGTGCTTCGAGACCTACAAGCATGAACGAAGCGAAGAGAAGAGAAGAGTGAACAAAGCCCACAAAAGAAAACAAAAGAGGAATGAGGGTGGAATGTGTTGTGTGGTTTTGTTTCGCTTATTTCTCGCTTCATTCATTCGGCTCCGTTCTTTCGCTCTCATTGCATTGAAAATAAGTGAACCCGAAAACACTACACAATACAATAATCCATTGACAAGCTACTGCATTAAAGGACACAAGAAAGCAAGAACAACATGGAATGGAATGGAAGCATTTGAACATATTTGAACGTAATGAAATCACGGCTCGGGGGAATTAACGTAAACACACCCCACCAACTACACCAGCAATGGTTTCCAAGGTTGACCGTTCACACGTGGTCTCAGTCAAGAGAACCAAAACCTCGCTTCGGCTCTCTCTCCGTTCGC